CAACAAGCAAGGCTTAACAACAAAACTGCACACACAGCCCACAAAGGGCTACACCAAGACTGTCCACCTCAGGTAATTGGGAAGCTGACTCACTGAACCTATAGGACACCTTAGCACACAAAGCCACCCTACCAAGTCAGGGAAGCTGTGAAAATGCTGAGACAAGGAAACAGATTACAAACAAAAGAAATGGAGGAAAAGAAGCAACTGGATATAGAGTTCAAAACCACGCTTATAAGGTTTTTCAAGAATTTCCTAGAAAAGGCCAATAAAATAAACGAGACCCCTGAGGATATGAAAAGGGATCAACTAGAAATAAAGAATACATTGTCTGAAATAAAAAATATTATACAGAGTCATAAAAACAGAATGGAAGATCATAAGAATCAAGTCAAAGATTTGGAACACAAAGAGCCAGAGGACACTCCTCCGCAGAAGCAAGAAGAGAAGAGAATCCAGAAAGTTGAAGATAGTGTAAGAAACCTCTGGGACAATTTCAAACGAAACAACATCAGAATTATGGGGATCCCAGAAGAAGAGAGAGAGCAAGATACCAAAAATATATTGACAGAAAACTTCCCCCACCTGGTGAAAGAAATAGACTTACAAGTCCAGGAAGCGCACAGGAATCCAAACAAAAGGAATCCAAAATCCAAAAGGAATCCAAAGAGGACCACACCAAGACACATCATAATTAAAATCCCAAGAGCAAAAGACAAAGAGAGAATATTAAAAGCAGCCAGAGAAAAGCAGGTAGTTACCTATAATATAAAGGAGCACCCATATGATTGTCAGCTGATTTCTCAACAGAAACCATGCAGGCCAGACGGGTATGGCAAGAAATATTCAAGGTGATGAATAGCAAGAACCTACAGCCAAAAATACTCTACCCAGAAAAGTTATCACTCAGAATCGAAGGCCAGATAAAGAGCTTCACAAATTAAAAAAAGCTAAAGGAGTTCATCACTGCCAAACCAGAATTATATGAATTGCTGAAAGGGGTTCTTTAGGAAGAGGAAGAAGATATAGATAAAAATTATGAACAACAAATATGTAACTATCAACAAGTGAAACTAAAAGCCAAGGGAATTAAAAAACCTGATGAACAATATTAACTGTTGAATATAATAGAATCAGAGGAAAGGAAGGGGAGTGGACTGACGATTCTCAGGGAAAAGGAGAGTGGGCAGTGTGGGAAGAGCCTGAACAAAAACTGCACCTATGGATGAGGACAATGGGGGTGTGGAAAGGGCAGAGGGTGGGGTGGGAACCTGGTGGAGGGGAACAATGGAGGGGGAAAAATGAGGAACATTTGTAATAATATGAACAATAAAGATTTATTAAAAAAATAATAACTTGAGGAACCAGGAGACAATTCATAATTTTTAGCCAGCAACCTATAAATGAAAAACAAATATATAAAACCCAGCCCTTTCATGATTTACAAAGCACAAGCTGAATAGGGCCATATATAAATATTTAAATGCAAAACATATAACAGGATGTTTTGAACACTTTATGAGGTATTATATTGAAATGGAGAGCTTATAGAGTAAAATTTGTAACACAGTGATGTCTAAAGATGAAAAAGCACCAGCTTGAGCTTTAGAATGCAATAAATTTTAATTGCATGTTAAATACAAACCAAATAACCTCTGTTTATACACACATGATATCATGTGGCTATTGTTGCCCAACCGCTTCTACATAATCTTTACTTAAAAGTTTAGAGTAATAATTGATGTTTATATTTGGAGAACATGAAATCAAAGGAAAAAGTACTCTTTTGTCTCAATATTTGCATAGGTATGAGTTACTATTGTAGTTTGTGGGACAGTAATCAACTGTGTATCAACCTAAGAATTATTTGTTATCAGTCTTTTATGCCCATAATTTAAAATCTGAGGTGTTAATAGACTTAAAACAAGCAAAGAGAAAAAACAAACACAAAAACTAGTCCCTTATCTCTGACCACCTCCATCCTCATCTGGGTTTCCTTACACAGTGAGAACCTTTTCAATACTTTTAACTATTTTTATAGCAGACACCTCTATATTTCTAATATCTGTAATATTCTTGTTTCTTTAATCACCCACTTTAAACAGATTGGTTCTGAATCCTAGCACCACAATTTACTAGCTCTGTGACCTTCACCAAATGACTTAACTTCGTTAGGCTTCAATTTTCTTATCTATAAAACAAATAATAGAACCTGTCACATAAGGCTATTGTGAAAATTAAGTGATGCAAAATCATGTGTGATATAATTTGCTCAAAATATAGTGGTCACAGATTAATAACTATTAGTGTGTTACTCTACTGCATCCTCCTAAAATAGTTATAGAATACTAGTTTTTCTATTAAATCACAGTGTTTTCATAATGTCCTTTTTATATTTGAGTCCACTCAATTAGTAAGTCCCACTTTTTGTCCTCATCAAAACAATTAATGGAGGGCAAACCAAGATGGTGGCATAGGGTAGACACCTAAAGGTAGCCTACCACAACAATTTTAAATTTAAAACTGGAAAACATAGGAAACATCGCCCTGAAACACCAGACGGCTGGCTGAGTGGAAGCTCTACCATCTAGGAAGGAAAGAGAAGGGACGCTGAGCCTCAGGAACTGTGGAGGTGCGGAGATCTGTGCATGCGGAAAAGGCGGCTGCCGAGTTTGCTGCTGGCTTACTCGAGGTGCACTGAGAGGGTGGGCCGAGTTCACTGTTGGCTTACTCCCGGTGCACAGAGAGGGCGGGCAGCTAATACGCTGCTGGCTTTCTTGTTCGGGAGGAAAACAGAACCGCCCTATTGCTCTGATAGACAGCCCCAGTCAGGGAGAGGCAGGACTGGCAGGCAGTGGGCAAAGCTCTCTCGGAGGTGCATGTGGCCAACAGCCATTACTGCAGGACTCAGGAACCGGACCCTCTTAGGGAGGGGCTGACAGGAAACCAAAGCTTGTCTGCACCACCCCGAAACTTCGCCACATCCAAACGGAACACAGAAGCCCTCCCAGTGGCTGCCTTTCTCATTCTGGAGAAAAAAAACTCCCAACTGCATTGAAAGACAACTCTGAGCCGGGAAAAAACTAGCTGTCATGGAGCAGGCAAAACTCGAGAACAGCCTTTTCACAAGAGGTGCTCATGCCTGCAGCCAGTCTTGTGGGACTCACCGTGAATAGAACTTTCCTAAGGCAGGACTGTTGGGGAACCAAAACTTGTCTGCACCAACCCGGACTCCGCCTCATCCAAGCTGAGCACAGAAGCCCTTATAGCTGAGACACTGCTGATCCTCACAGCCAATTGGCTTGGAGATAAACACTTCCCAGTGAAACCAACAAAAAGCAAGGCTTAACAACAAGACTGCACACACAGCCCACAAAGGGCTACACTAAGACTATCCACCTCAGGTAACTGGGAAGGCTGTGCTACTGGGCTCTGCCAGGACACCTGATTCCATTAAATCAGGGAAGCAGCTAAAATGCAGAGAAGAGGCAGGACACAAAGGAAGGAAATGGAGGAAAGTAAAAGAATGACATTGAGTTCAAAATCACAGTTATAAGGTTTTTCAAGAATTTCCTAGAAAAGGCCGATAAGATAAATGGGACCTTTGAGGATATACTGTAAAAAGGTATCAACTAGAAATAAAGAATACATTGTCTGAAATAAAAAATATTATACGGAGTCCTAAAAACAGAATGGAAGATCGCAAGAATCAAGTCAAAGATTTGGAACACAAAGAGCCAAAGGACACTCCTCCACAGAAGCAAGAGAAGAGAATCCAGAAAGTTGAAGATAGTGTAAGAAACCTCTGGGACAACTTCAAGCAAATCAACATCAGAATTATGGGGGGTCCCAGAAGAAGAGAGAGAGCAAGATACCAAAAATATATTGGAAGAAATAATGACAGAAAACTTCCCCTGCCTGGTGAAAGAAATAGATTTACAAGTCCAAGAAGCACACAGAACCCCAAACAAAAGGAATCTGAAGAGGACCACACCAAGACACATCACAATTAAAATTCCAAGAGCAAAAGACAAAGAGAAAATATTAAAAGGAGCCAGAGAAAAGCACCCATACAATTGTCAACTGATTTCTCAACAGGAACCATGCAGGCCAGACGGGAATGGCAAGAAATATTCAAGGTGGTGAATAGCAAGAACCTACAGCCAAAATTACTCTACTCAGCAAAGCTATCACTCAGAATTGGAGGCTAGATAAAAAGCTTCACAAATTAAAAAAAGCTAAAGGAGTTCATCACTGCCAAACCAGAATTATATGAATTGCTGAAGGGGGTTCTTTAGAAAGAGGAAGAAAATAACAATAAAAATTATGAACAATAAATACGTAACTATCAACAAGTAAATCTAAAAACCAAGGGAATTAAAAAATCTGATGAACAATATTAACTGGTGAATATAATAGAATCAGAGGTATGGAAGGGGAGTGGACTGATGATTCTGGAGGAAAAGGGGAATGGGGGTGTGGGAAGAGACTGAACAAAAACTGTGCACCTCGCCGAAATCGGTTTGGCTCAGTGGATAGAGCATTAGCCTGCAGACTGAAAGGTCCCAGGTTCGATTTTGGTCAAGGGCATGTACCTTGGTTGCGGGCACATCCCCAACTGATGGATAATTCTCTCTTATCGATGTTTCTAACTCTCTATCTCTCTATCTCTCTCTCTTCCTCTCTGTAAAAAAATCAATAAAATATATTAAAAAAACCCAAAACTGTGCACCTGTGGATGAGGACAATGGGGGGTGGGGAAAGGGCAGAGGGTGGGGTGGGAACCTGGAGGAGGGGAGCAATGGAGGGGGAAAAAAGTGGAACATTTGTAATAATCTAAACAATAAAGATTTATTTTTTTTTAAAAAAACCCCACAATTAATGGAAGGCTGGCAAGCTAGCTGAAAATGCGGAACCAATAGACTATCCTGGATAACTTTGAACTTGACAAATTCCAAGTCACTGGGATTTCAAGACTGTGAGAAAGTGTATTACAGAACTTTTACTGTAGTTTTAAAATTATTTTATTCGAATCTCTGAAACATATCACTCCCACAGTTACTATATCACATCTTTAATGCTCACCTTTTGCCTGCTTTTTATAATTTCCATAGCTAAGTATGTTTAAGATGTTACACAACAAATATTCCAGTTTTTCTTTATATACAATATTTTCCAGAATTTATACCACTGCTTTCTATACTGTTTCCCAGTGATTAATTTAAAACCAAAGGTTCTATTTAGAGTTCATAATTCCAAGTGGTCTCTAAGTTTTGAGAATAACACAATTTATATACTGTGATATGTCTAAAGACTGAGATATGTCTATAGACTGAGATTCTAAAAAACATTTATGTAGCAGTTTTTGTTCAGAAAAAAAACAAACAGTTTGGTCACAATCTATTTCAACAAAGTGCTATAGTAAACTGGAGGAATTTTAAAGAAAGTCAGTTATAATAATTGAAGAATCACACATTAACTCATTTTAATAACTCAGTCTTAGTATAAAATATTTTCATTCAGCCAATGAAATAAAAAATTAAATAATATATTATAAAATTCTCAAATTCTGCCTCATTAAATTTTAAGTTCTCTGAGGAGAAGGAGTATGTTTAATTTACCTTCTATCATCATTGCATAGTATAGTGTCAAACTAGTACAGGTATAGAGTTACCCAATACATATTCATTGGATAAATAACTTCAGCATAACTTGGTCTCAGGTTGACAAATATTTGACAGTAAAATACCAAGTGCCATATTAACACAGCATTATTATTTCAGCATAAACAAAGCACACTAGTTGATGTATTTTATGTTTTATTGATGGTGACATAGACATATAGTAAAAATATACATTAATCACCCATGGTCCCTTATAAATATTTAAAGTTCTTTTTCACAAGCACAATCCTATTGCAGTCATACTATAACTTTTTTTTAAGACAATTAAAAAATACACTGAAGATATCATAATTCACGATGAGATATTGAGATGGACTTTAACATTCTCATTACGAACAAGTATAGACTTTTACCAAGAGGTTGATATTCTGGGGATCCTTTCCGAGGATTTATTTTCATATAATTAATGGCCAAATTAGCATATGTGAAATCTTATATTCTTATAAACTTTATTCAGAGTCCATAAATGCAAGCAGATTATAAAATATTCTTAGATGTACCAACATCTTTAAAAAGTTTAATGTATTCAGTTTGCTTTAAGATATATTCCTTGAATTGACAATTGTTGAGCTTTACAAATACTATCTTTTCATGTCTTCACAGCTTGGATCTGATCTGATAACAAAAACAGACAAGACATTATCAGTCTCTACAGGACAAAATACATTTTTGTTTAACATAACCTGAGACAAATCTATAAGAACAGTAGAAATCTATGCAGTTTTTCAAAAAAGCACAAATCATACCATAATTTTTATTTTCATCACAGTTGTATTAGTATATGCATAGAGCCAATTAACTAGTTCTATATGACTGCATAAAAATTAGCAGTCCCTTGCCTCATCTCTCAACTCCCTTTTAGGTGATTACCTCTTTATCTCTAAATAATATATGTGTTTTATTACTTGTTGAAATAGCAGTTTCTTCCATTTAATATGAGCCTCAGTTTTATGTATCTCTATGCTGCTCTCTACAACCCTCATAATGCTTTCAATACTCCCATCCTCCTAACAAAGTAATGTAGTCATTATCAATGTAACTAGAGGCCTGGTGCATGAAGTGTGTGTGTGTGTGTGTGTGTGTGTGTGTCCCTCAGCCTGGCCTGCACCCTCTCCAATCTGGGACCCCTTGAGGGATGTTTGACTGCCGGTTTAGGCACAATGCCTGTGGAAATGGGTCTAAACCAGCAGTCAGACATCCCTCTTGCAATCTGGAACCGCTGGCTCCTAACTGCTCACCTGCCTCCCTGACTGATAGTCCCTAACCACCTCTGCCTGCTGGCCTGATCGCCCCTAACTGCCCTCCGCTGCTAGCCTGGTCATCTCTACAGCCTATGCCTCAGCCCCCGCCACCGTGGCTTTGTGTGGATGTCCAGAAGACTTCTATTTTAATTAGCACATTACCCTTTTATTAGTATAGATTATACAACATGAGCTTTAAGGTAGAATTGCATTAGTAGAAATGAACAGACATCTCATTTAAAAATGTTTATTGGTTTGATATGATTCAAATTCACTTGTTTATGACAAAAGTCAAGTCTTTAAGAATAGGATTGCTTGTCCTAGCTGGTTTTGCTCAGTGGCTAGAGCTTCAGCCTGAGGACTGAAGGGTCCCGGGTTTGATTCTGGTCAAGGGCACACACCTGGTTTGCAGGCTTGATCCCCAGTAGGGCACATGCAGGAGGCAACTAATCAATGAATCTTTCTCATCATTGATGTTTCTATCTCCCTCTCCCTTTCTGAAGTCAATAAAAATCTATTTTAAAAAATCCTATCTAATAAAAGAGTAATATGCAAATGAACAATCACTCCAATACACCCACAAGCCATGTCCACCAGCCAATCAGGAGCGAGTATGCAAATTAACCCAACCAAAATGGGTGTGGCCATGGAGCAAGCAGGAGGCTTGGATTTCACTGGCAATGGAGGAAGCCAAGCTTTCCACACACATTGGTGGACCCAGGCCTCCACTCAAGGCTACAAAGTTTCAATGACAGGAGATAAATAAATCCCAACAAAAATCGCTGTTGCCATGGAGGGAACAGGAGATTTGGCTCTGCTCAATGCTACAAAGTTTCAAGTATAGAAGATAAATAAATCCCAGATTCCAGGACCTCTGCTTGGGTCACCGGGGGGAGTGGCTGGCTTGCAAACCACCACAGGCCCCTCACCCAGGCTGACTCATGCCCCAAGGGAACCCCCATCCTAATCCAGGACACCCTTCGGGGCAAACCACCTGGCCCCCACCAGTGCACCAGGCCTCTATCTTATCTAATAAAAGAGTAATATGCAAATTGACTGTCACTCCAACACACAAGATGGCTACCCATGTGGTTAAAGATCCTGCCCCTATGTAGACACAAGATGGCCAGCAGGGGAAGGTAGATGGGAGGGACCAGGCCTGCAAGGGAAGGCAGTTGGGGATGATCAAACAAGCAGGGGAGGGCAGTTGGGAGGGACCAGTCCTGCAAGGGAAGGTAGTTGGGGGGGGCAGGCCTACAGAGGAGGGCAGTTAGGGGCAAACAGGCTGGCAAGGGAGCAGTTAGGCTACCAATTAGGCTGGCAGGGGAGTTGTTAGGGGGTGATTAGGCTGGCAGACAGAAGTGGTTAGGGACAATCAGGAAGACAGACAGGTGAGCAGTTGGGAGCCAGCAGTCCTGGATTGTGAGAGGGATGTCCTACTGGGATTGGGCCCAAACGGGCAGTCGGACATCCCTCGAGGGGTCCCAGATTGGAGAGGGTGCAGGCTGGGCTGAGGGATACCCCTCCCCCCCATGCACAAATTTCATGCACCGGGCCTCTAGTAAAAAAATAAGATTGCTTTGCTATCAAAGCCAAATAAGGTGTATCATTTGTTGTCCCTGATGAAGTCTGAGCAGCTCATTTGCTAAATAACTTCACTGGGTTTTTATCAAATAAAATCCATGGAGAAGCAACAATGCCCACCATGCATTTAGGCTATAAAGATCAAAAGTTGAGGAGGACGGAGTGTTTCTGGGGTAGGAGACAGTGAGGATCAGTGGCTGGGAGGCAGGGAAGACATGGGAATGCCCAGTGCATGGAAGCACTGGAGGTTCTGGGATATTCAAATCTTCTGGGGGTGGGGTCAGGCCCTGCACTCCAAGAGGTCAGGTCTGGAGGGAAGACAGGGGTGCATTTCTGGGGACCCCTTTCCTGTGAGGCTCCTCCTCCTCCTCTATACCCCCTAACCTGCCCATTTGGATCAAGGGGGTGGGAAGCAGGTATGCAATGCCTGGGTGGGATCTCTCCAGGGTGGGGGCGAGGTATTTGTATTGGTTTATTTGATTCTTTGTACATGTTGAAGAGGGTGGCAGGGAAGTGTCTGCCAGACATGGTTTCCTTCTGCCTGCTCGTCAGAGCTGCCCTGTGTGATGCTTTTGCCTTCCTTCACCGCTGCCCCGAGATAACGTGCATGAGATCACCAGGGATGAAACTGGGGCTCTTGGTGTATTGCATGGAGATTGCACTCCACAGGAACCTGCCTGGTCCAGGGAGGGTTGGGGTCATTCACTGCGGAAAAGGCTCGATTTAAACAAAGCTGCTGCTTAGATAGGTGCCAGCTAAGGCATTTGTGTAGAATTTATCATCCTTTCTGGCTGTTTCCTTGGAAATCACAAACTCAATATAGCAGAGCCAGGGGCTGCCCCCGGGCTGGGTGGCCTCTGGGTTGGGTCGCACAGGGACTGCCTCCACTGGGGGCCGCTCAGCGTGGAGGTCCTCCTGGTGATGGCAGTCCCTGCCCACTCACTCCTGCTGTGCATGCCTCCTGCTGATCGGTCATGATGTTACGGCATTCCGGTTATTTTGCATATTTCTCTATTATATAGGATGAATCTGTAAATGCCGGTCACAACTGAGAAAGGTAGCATGCCTGTTACTTTTCCTGTCTTCAACTACATTCTGTTTTCCCCAGAGTTAATAATTGTTCCTTACCTTCAATCCTGCCTCTCTGCTTTTTTATGTATCTAACTAGTAGCCCAGTGCACAAAATTCGTGATTGGGGGTGGGGGTCCCTCAGCCCTGCACCCTCTCCAATGAGGGTCCCCTTGGGGGATGTCCAACTGCTGGTTTAGACCTGATCCACCTGACAGTTGGACATCCCTTTCACAATCTGGGACTGCTGGCTCCTAACTGCTTATCTGCCTACCTGCTTGATTGCCCCTAACTGCCCTCCTCTGCCAACCTAATTGCCCCTAACTGCCTCTGCATCAGCCCCCACCACCATGGCTTTGTCCAGAAAGAATTCGGACATCTGGAAGATGGCTGGTCGACCCAGACTAATTAACATATTACCCTTTTAGTAGTATAGATTGTATAGGATTGCTTAATTGGGGTGGGAGGTGGGGGTGGAGTCTTTTTCAGCAGGAGGAGATGCTCTTGGCATACAAAAATACATAATCCCTGTATCTAGACTGATAGCCAGCCATATGCACTATACTGCCAACTGGTCATTAAAAAATTGAACCCCTTTCTTACCTCTTGCACCAAACAGCTGTTGCCCTTAAAACCCCTTCTCAGCCCCCACCTTAGGTTCTGCCTTTCGCAGTTCACCCAGATTGTTCTGATTGGTCGGTTTCTATGCCAGTCAGCGTCAAAAGCTCTGCCTCCTAGACAGCCATTGGATCCTCCCAGTTCACCCATTTTGGTTCTGATTGGTGTGTTTCTATGCCAGTCAGTGTCAAAAGCTCTGCCCCCTAGGCAGCCATTGGCTCCTCTCAGGTCACCCATATCTGGTTCTGATTGGTCAGTTTCTATGCCAGTCAGCGTCTCCGGGCCTATCTCTGGGCTTGATCAGAATGAGGGGGCTGAACAACAGACCCTGTGGCTGCTGGCAAGGCCTGGAGAGAAAGAAAGGCAAGGGTTGATCAGCTGCCATGGAAGCTTTGGATCAGACCCTGCTTCTCTTTCTGGGTCTGATCCACAGCCCCCTCAGCAGTCAGTGCAGGGTTGCCATGGAGCCTGCAGCACTGACTGCAGAACTGACTCCCAGTGTTTGGTCATTCTTTTGGTCATTTTGGATGTTATAGACCATGGCTCTATAGATGGATACTACTTCAAACCCATTATTCTACAGTGCTTATGGAGCACATTACAGAGTCAATTTCACTACAGCCTTCCCAAACTCTATAATCTGGACCAGCTTTTCTCTACTTGTCCGGTTATTTTCATAAAAGGTATTTCACTATCACTCTAGGATCTCCACTATCATCCAGGGGATTCCTTCCCCCATTCTCCTGTGCTTATTTTCCTTCCCTCCTTTTCCCCCCTTGGTTTATTCCCTTGTTTTTGATGAGTACTCCTCTCAGTGGCTACCTTAGTAAAAGGTATAGAAAGTAAATTCTTAAGACTTTGCATGGCTGAAGATGTCTTAATTCTACAATCACAACACATTGATACAGCCTAAGAACACAATTCCATTTTCTCCTTTGACTATTCCAGGCAATGCACAATCATATTACACCTTCCAAGGGTTGCTACTGAAAAGTTTGATGCTATTCTGTATCCTTGTCCTTTACACGAAATCTCCTTTTCTTCTCATGAAGTCTGTAGACTTTTCCATTGTCTTCAATCTTAACTGTTATTAATGATGTGCCA